TGCAGGGCATGGTGGAAGCTTCGAAGACTTTGGCAAGGCATGGTTTCGGGGGTCAATGGCCTGAACAGCCATCGCTAACTCAAGGGTGTGGGAAGGGCTACATGTCGGGGGGGCTCCAGGGTGGCACAGTTGGAGGGCAACCTGGTGCAGGACAAGGTCTTTCCAGTCAACCTGATCAGCCAGATCAGTCTCGGGGGCCAAGTTCTTCGGTTCCTCAAGAGTCGAGCTCCAATGGACGTGGAGGTCAACATCCTGCGGACAGAACTTCTCAAGAGGGAAGCCAAAGAGGAGGTTTTGCGGGGACTGGAGGCGGTCGTCATGGAGGTGGCCATCATGGTCTTGGAGGGCACGATCGTGGTCTCTCGTCAGTGGGTGCACTGGCGAGTGGTCTGGGTGGCAGCTGTTCAGGGGGTTTGCCTGGTGGTGGAGGACGACCACCTGGCGGGGGCTATCGTGGTGCTCCTGGGGGTTTTCCAGCTGGAGGAGGAGGCTTTCCGCGTGGAGGCCCGGTTGGGGCTTTCCGGGTGGAGGACCGGGTGGAGGCTTTCCTGGAGGAAGACCAGGCGGGTGCTCCCGTGGCGGTTTTTCAGGGGCCCTCGCTGGCGGTTTTCCAGGTGCTCCAGGCGGTTGCTTTCCTGGCTCTCCAGGTGGTGGCCCAGGTGCTCCAGGTGGAGGAGATCGCGACGGGCCATATGGCGGCATCCCGGCGTGGCCAACAGGAGACAGTCAGGGCAGTTGAACTACCCACTCTGCAGGAGCTTTCGGAATCAGAGATCGGTCCATTGATTGCTGGAGATTGGTTGACAACCATCGGCCCTTTCCTCAGGGATATTAGCGCCAGTTCTTCACTTTGGTGGGATGAGGTCTTGAATGTGGCGGGTGCCCTCTACCGGGTTTGGCTGAATTCTGAACCTATGGAACGGCTTCGTTTGGTTCCGATCACACCTCCAGCCTTTCAGAGGCCGCCACGGTTGAGAATAGAGCAACGAGGTTCAGTCGCTCTGCTGAAGGCGATGATTCCTGATTAATTCCCTGAGATCGGAGTTGGTGTCACAGAGAGAAGTGGGCTCGGTCAGCATTGTCTTCAAGGTGCTGAGAGTATACCAGCCTGGAGGTCTTGGGGAGCGAACAACGTTGCTGAAGCAGTTGGTGGATCAGAAGGTGCCGGGACTGCTGGGTGAGTGGCTTTCATCACTTCGGGCATGGAGGAGGTGGCTCACCCGGGTTCAAGAGCTGGGCATCCAATCACCAGACCCTGTTCTCATCAATGGCCCCCATCAAGGACACCGTAAAGGTCAGATGGAGACAATGGTGGAACCAAAGATGAGGGCAAGCCGCAAGGTGGCCGGGGCAAGATCAAGGAGAATGGTGAAGGAAAGGGCACCAAAGACGCCAAGGAGGCCAAGAATGACAAGTCCGAAGGAAAGAATGGCAAAGGGGACCAAAAGGGGGCAGCATCCGACAAACCAGTCTGCCGCTACTTTCTCTCCGACACTGGCTGCAAAAAGGGTCAAAAGTGTCCATTTCCTCATGACGAATGGAATTGGAATATCCAAGCAGGGCCGGTGTTGGTCTTGTGGTTCGACCCAACATATGAAGCCAGAATGTCCAGTGAAGGATGTCCCAAAGGTGAAGAAGGAGATTGGAGAGGATGCGAAGTCCAAGGATGGAAGCGCCAAAGGAAGCGATGGAGGTCATGGAACTCAGCCTGGTGAAGCCTTGGGTGGGAGTCACAAGGAAGCAGTGCAACTCTTGAAATCGCTTCGTCCCTCGGTGAAAGCCTTGTGTATGCGATCTGTCAACACCACGGAGGCGAACGGCAGAGCATTGTTGGATGGGGGTGCAACCCATGTCTTGAGGCCTGCGAGGTCAAAGAAGGAATTCGAAGAGGCCATCCCGATCAAGGTGGAGTTGGCGGCTGGGGTCACCACCTTACGACAGGTGGAATCAACTGGCACCCTCATCACGGACTTTGAGACCCAGACGATAGTTCTTTTGGGCAAAGTGGTGCGTATGGGCTACAAGGTGAGGTGGGAGGGTGACAGCTTTGAGATGTGGGACCATTCTGGTGAGCCGGTGGAGGTTTTGCTGGAGTCGGGTTGTCCCACGGTGACCATCAAGACTGCCAATCATCTTATGGAGGAGTTGGAGAAGTTGAGGGTGGCAGCTTTGAAAGCAGGAGATCCAGGAGATCTAGTGCCCAATGTCTGGAAGTGGCTCAAGGACTTGCGAGAAATGTGGCCTGAGGTCCCGGATGAGTTGATCGCTCGTGTGGTCCCGACTGGTCGATGGACAGCAGAATCCGTGCCGCTCAATAGGAGGCAACGCCAGAAGATCGCAGCTAGCTCATCGGTGGTGCTTCACCTTTTCTCAGGACCAGACCAGTCATGGTGGCGAAAGAGACTGGACTCGAGCTCTCGCACAGTGATCTGCGTAGACAAGATGGCTGACTCCAACCAGGATCTACTGGCTGACCAGCTCACTAGCTTCTTGGCGGAGGTTTGTGAAAAAGGACTCCACTTCGGGCGAGGAGTGGACCAGAACGTTTTGCTTGGGAGGACCTGTCCGACGCCATGAGGGAGCTGGCTGTTTTGTGGATGAGGCAGCTGTGGCTCTACACTTTGGCATGCCAGACACGTTCTCGTTTGGTTCTCTCGCTCAAGGAGCACCCTCGTGACTTTGAGGAGTACAAGTCTGTGAATGACACCAACGAGTACCCATCGTTCTATGCCTGGCAAGAGTTTCGAGCTCGCTTCGGTATGAAGGAGGTGCGCTTGGACATGGGAGCTCTGGGCCATCAGTGCAGAAAGCCGACCACGCTGGGTACCAATATCCCTCACTGGTGCAGCTTTGAGGGACTGTCAGACTCCCGGGATCATGGACAAAGCATCGACCCCAACGCGTCAATTGAAGCAAGGGTGCAACAAAGTCGAGGACGGGCAGCATGGCCGGAAAGGTTCAAGGAGGAAATCGTGAAGGGCAGTGGACCAACAGGGCGATATCGACTTCCCGGACGGCAACCCAAATGTGGCCAAGATGACAGCGGAAGAATGGCGGAGTCATGTTTTGCAAGACCACGTACCTTTTTCAAGGGAGTGTACTACGTGCTTGAAGGGTGCAGGCCGCAGCGATGCCATGACTTTGAGTGTCGACATCTGTGGACCGTTTCGCCCGGCGGAAAAGGCAAAATACTTCTTGGGGGGTCTATGCCATTCCAAGGTCATGGAGGAGCCACCTGAACAACCTGCGGATGCAGGGGATGCAGTGCTGCTGCCAGAAGCAGAACCTGAAAAGATTCCAGGTGATGAAGGCGATCCGAAGGTGCGGGAAGAGTGGGAGAGGCTGGAGGTCGAATCAGAGGATGTGGTCGTGATGATCAGCTACACTATGGTGGACACATTGACCTCACGGCATGCAACGGAGCTGAGAGCCGGTCTCGCTCGGATGTTGGCCAGGTTGAAATATTTGGGCATGGAGGTGAGAAGGGTCCATAGCGATGGTGCGGGGGAAATGAGAGGGACCAGGAGGTGGTGTGAAGCCAGAGGACTCTACAGGACTTTCACCAAGTGGGCGTCATCCGCAGGGGCATCAACACGTTGATTCGCTCATTCGGAGAGGGAGAGGAACTTTGGCCGCTGATGGCGAGACATGTCGGAGAACGACGAGGGCGACTGCAACTCCAGGCATTAGGCTTCTCTACGCCAAGTCTGCTGCCTTGGGGGAGGACAGTGATGGTCACTACCAAGGGGTGGGACGATTTCCAAGGACATTGGAGGATGCGGAAAAAACCTGGAGTGGTGCGTGGCCCTCATCCCCGGATGAGCTTGACAAGTGGTGGGCACCTGGTGGAGGTGGACAAGGGCAAGTATGTTGACCTGGTCCAGGCCGAAGATCCACCATCCTTGGAGGACGTCATCAACGTGAAGGAAAGACCAGAACCAGCTTCCATCCTGGGCGGGGCGGCAGTTCCAAAGAGAAGACTGTATGAGAAAACAGCCCTGTCATCGCTGCCGGTTGAGGAGCTTCAAGATCGTCTTCGAAGGGGTCTGGAGATGGCAAATGAAGAGTTCAGCCGCTTGGAAGCGAACCTCAGTGGCGAAGATGGGATGGTCGCACACATCTATGACCTGGACTGCGAGAATGAGAAGCTCGAGAGGACAGTTCAAGATCTAGCCGTGTCCTGCAAGCGTCTGGAGGCAGATGCTCTCCATGTCACGGGGGAGGATGAAGAGATCTTTCTTCAAACAAGAACAATCAGCCTGAATGAAGTGAGAAAGTCTCTACCCTTGTGGATCCCGTCGCTTCGCGCTGAGATTGAGAACTTCGACAACAATAGAGCGATCAAGCGGATCGCGGAGGAGCAGACTCGTGAGATCATGGCGGAGGCCCGGAAGAATGGTGAGCGTGCAGAGCTGATTCCAGGAGTGGGAGTCTTCACCCGCAAAGCAGGTGATGGGAGAAGACGATCCAGAATCGTCTGCTGCAGAAACTACATGGAGGCACGAAGTCTATGCCACGGGCGCTGACTCGACCCAATTGAGATCTACGCTTCGCCTCGCAGCTCTTCGACAGTGGGAGTGCTTGTCGCTGGATGTCAAGTCAGCGTTTTTGCTAGCACCAAAGGCACAGGGTGAGACAGTAATTGCCAAACCCCCCAAGATATTAGAAGAAGCACAGCTGGCTCAACCAAGCTGTTTTGCCACCCTGTGGATGCTGCCCTTGCTGTGCAGCATCTGCCCCACCCTGAGGATGTTGCCCTTGCCCTGGAGCTCCTTGCTGTGGTGCTGTTGTGCCACCCTGAGGATGCTGCCATTGCTGATGCTGCCATTGCTGTTGCACTTGCTGTGAAGCACATGCTGTGACATACTGGGGATGCTGCCCTTGCTGTGGTCCTTGGTGTGAAGCAAATGCTGTGCCACCCTGAGGATGCTGCTGTTACTACTAGCGTCCTTGTTACTACTAGTAAGACACCTGTTACTACTAGCGTGGCACCTGTTACTACTAGCGTGGCACCTGTTACTACTGGCGTGGCACCTGTTACTACTAGCGTCCTTGTTACTACGAGTAAGGCACCTGTTACTAGTAGTAAGGCACCTGTTACTACTAGCGTGGCACCTGTTACTACTAGCGTGGCACCTGTTACTACTAGCGTGGCACCTGTTACTACTAGCGTGGCACCTGTTACTACCAGCGTCCTTGTCACTACTAGTAAGGCGCCTGTTACTACTAGTAAGGCACCTGTTACTACTAGCGTGGCACCTGTTACTACTAGCGTCCTTGTTTTTACTAGTAAGGCACCTGTTACTAGTAGTAAGGCACCTGTTACTACTAGCGTGGCACCTGTTAATACTAGCGTGGCACCTGTTACTACTAGCGTCCTTGTTACTACTAGCAAGGCACCTGTTACTAGTAGTAAGGCACCTGTTACTACTAGCGTGGCACCTGTTACTACTAGCGTCCTTGTTACTACTAGTAAGGCACCTGTTACTAGTAGTAAGGCACCT